CCAACTTCAGTATATATTGTATATAATTAGGCATATAGAAACCAGAAAACCAAACCCGTTGCCGATGAGTCCATTCTGACTCATAGCGATCCTACAGGACAAAGTAGGTTTCCATGGAGTGGCTGGTGGATTCGAACTGCCAGCCTTTTGGTTAGCAGCCTGGCTCTTAACAACTGTGCTACCAGGGCTCCAAATTAGGCATGTAAGTGCCCGTTACTCAGTTTGTCTAATTCTTACGTAGATTTTTCTGTTTCTTAATTATTTCTGCTACAGTTAGCTTTCACTTACTGAGTACCTGTGTGTACTTTTACATACTTTATTTTATTTAACTTTTTGAACTAGACAATATTTATCCTCATTTTACAAGAGAGGACTCTTAATACCGAGAGCAGTTAAGTAGCTTGGCTAAGTATCAGAGTTGGAGTTTGTCATGGTTTGAATTGTGTCCCCCAAAAAATGTGTGTATCAGTTTGGCTGGGCCACAATTCTCAGAATTGTGTGGTTGTCCTCCATTTTGTGATTGTAATTTTCTGTTAAAGAGGATTAAGGTGGGATTGTATAACACTCTTACTAAGGTCACATCCCTGATCCAATGTAAAGGGAGTTTCCCTAGGATATGGCCTGCACCACCTTTTGTCTTACAAGAGATAAAAGGAAAGGGGGAAGCAAGCAGAGAATAGGGGACCTCATACCACCAAGAAAGCAGAACCAGGAGCAGAGCTCGTCCTTTGGACCCAGCTCCCTGAGTGGAGAAGCTCCTAGTCCAGGAAAAGGTTGATGGTGACGAAAACCTTCCTCCAGAGCCGAGAGAGAGAGAAAGCCTTTCCCTGGAGCTGACGTCCTGAATTTGGACTTGTAGCCTACTAGACTGTGAGCAAATAAATTTCTCTTTGTTAAAGCCATCCACCTGTGTCATTTCTGTTAGAGCAGCACTAGATTACTAAGACAGAGTGACCCTGTAGGACAGAGTAGAACTGCCCCATAGAGTTTCCAAGGAGTGCCTGGTGGATTGGAACTGCTGATCTTTTAGTTAGCAGATGTAGCTCTTAACCATTACACCAACAGGGTTTCCACCCAATATTTTGCCTTCCCTTATTTTTATATTATCATATTTTCATCAAAGAAAGGAGTACAAAATTGTCATTCATTCATTCAGTAACTGTTTAAATACATACTGTATTAGATAGTGTACTAGATGTAATGCATTCAGATAAAAATAAAACAAGATCCTTGTCTTTAAATTCATAGTCTACTATGGGAAATGTGCATACTATACTCATACTTTCCCCTTGTATTGTTTTAGAGGTTGTCCCTATTCTTTGTCTAGAGGTGCTGGCATAATGAGCAGTTAAGTGATAAAATGATGACTTCTAGGTTAATAATTGGAAGATCTAGAGTTAATACTTCCCTGATTCACTCTGTTATTTCTTAGAAGCACACACAGACACACACACATATATATATGTTTTGTTTTGTTTTTTACAGGTAGTAAGATGTGATTTAAAAACCCCAAGGCATTTGAAATGACTAATTGTCGTAAGTAGAGAAGAGGAATATGTTATTTATTAGATGAATATTATAAGGAACAGGAGACTAATTCAGCAAAGACAATGTCACTTTAGAGAAAACTCAGACTAAATGTTTCCAATTGGCTTTAGATATGAATTGGGGACTGATGATTTAATCATTTTAATCTTGACACAACTGTTGTCTTTATTCCCTATTATTCATCTCCTCTCCTCTCCCTGTTCTGCTTTTTTAAAAAAAAATTTATACTTGAGAGGTAGGAATAAGATAATAGTGTCAGAAGAAATAGAGATGACTAGCATCTATAGAAAGATTAAACTACATTTTATCCATAAGATGAGAACCGTTACTCAAAATAATGAAGTAGAGAGTGAGAAAGTACTAAAAATTAAAAATATTATTATGGAGAATACTGGAGAGCTGGAAGTAAAAGTGGATGAAATCTCCCAGTACACAGAGTGAAAATACGAAAGAAAAGGTTGGAGACAAAACATCAACCCATGTGGTCCAAATACGGAGAAAATAGGAAGGAAAAAAAAATGAAAGACTTAAAATGACAGAAGTTTTTTAATTAAAACGGCCCAGCCAGTGTTACGTAGAAGAAATTTAAAAAATAGACTGTCCCTAAAAAAGTCCTCATGAAATTGCAGAATACTCTACCAGTTACTAAGTCGTTGTTGTTAGGTGCCGTCGAGTTGGTTCCGACTCATAGCGACGTTATGTACAACAGAACGAAAAACAGCCTGGTCCTGCACCATCCTCACAATTGTTAAATGCTTGAGCCCATTATTGCAGCCACTGTGTCAGTCCATCTTGTTGAGGTCTTCCTTCTTTTCGCTGACCCTCTACTTTACCAAGCTTGATGCCCTTCTCCAGGGACTGGTCTCGCCTGATAACATGTCCAAAATATGTGAGATGAAGTCTCGCCACCCTTGCTCCTAAGGAGCATTCTGGTTGTACTTCTTCCAAGACAGATTTGTTCATTCTTTTGGCAGTCCGTGGTATATTCAGTATTCTATGCCAACACCATAATTCAAAGGCATCAATTCTTCGGTCTTCCTTATTCATTGTCCAGCTTTCGCATGCATATGAGGCACTTGAAAATATCATGGCTTGGGTCAGGCACACCTTAGTCCTTAAAATGACATCTTTGCTTTTTAACATTTTATAGCGGTCTTTTGCAGCAGATTTGCCCAGTGCAGTGCGTTGTTTGATTTCTTGACTGCTGCTTCCAGGCGTTGATTGTAGACCCAATAAAATGCAGTCCTTGACAACTTCAGTCTTTTCCCCGTTTGCCATGATACTGCTTATTGGTTCAGTTGTGAGGATTTTTGTTTTCTTTATGTTGAGGTGTAATCCATACTGAAGGCTGTAGTCTTTGGTCTTCATCAGTGCTTCAAGTCCTCTTCACCGGTTATGAAGAGAAGACCCTAAATATTCCAGAGAGAAACACTGGTTTACCTACGGAAGAATGAGAAGTAAATTGGCAGGACACTTTCTTATCAGCAACAAGGGATCCTAGAAGACAGTGCTTTTCAGAGTTTGGAGACAATAATTTTGTTTTGAATTGTAGCCAAAGTGTGAATGAAAGATAAAAATATTTTCTAACATGCAAGGACTGAAAGTTTACCTCCTGTGTATACTTTCTGGAACAATTATTTGAGGATTTTCTAGTAAAGGGGAAAAAAGGAAAACATGGGATTTAAACCAAGGAACCTAACCCAGGAGTAGTATAATCAAAACATATCTCAGAAGTAGCTTGGTAATAGCTCTAAATTAGATCAAGATATTGGAGGCTTCTGAAAAGAATATCTTTAAGAAGAAAGTGAAATCACTTTAACGAAAAGTTTGATTTAAGAAACAATGTTTTTCATGATTTCTGTACTTGTTTCAATTGCTTTCCTTCCACTGTCTCTAAACAGCATTCCATTCAGGCTTTTTTGCACCTATCATTCTACCAGAGGTGCCTTTGTCAAGGTCTTCATTGTCCTCCATGTGGCTAAGGCCAGTGGTTAGTTATAGGTCCTCATTGTACTTCACCTTTTAGCAGCATTTGGCATAGTGGATTAGTTCTTCTGTCTGAAGCACTTTCTTCACTTGGTATCCACACTCTGGATTTTTCTTTTCTTCTACTGGCCTTTTGGTTTTTCTGCTTCTTCTCTTTTCCCTAGCCTCTTAATGTTGGATTGTGTCAGAATCCAGTCTTTGAATTTCTTTCCTTCTCCATGTACAGCTTAGAGATCTCATCCAAGTTCATACCTTTTTAAATATCATGTATACACTGATAACTCCCAAATTTTTCCAGTCAGCTCCAGACTCCTATTTAACATTTTCACTTGAATGTCAAATAGATGCCTCAAACTTAACACATTCAAAACTGAACTCAAGAAATTTTCTCCAAACCTCCTTCTTCCACAGTGTTTTCCTATGTCAATTAATGTCAGCTTCACTTTTCCAGTTGCCCAGGCTGTGAAATTTAGTCAATTTTTTCCTTAAATAGAAACACATAAAACAAGGTAACATACAGATTGATTGACAAACGTACTGTGACCAGAGGCTCGCAGGAACCTAACTTTGTATTTCCACTAGAGCAGTAGTTCAGTATTCACCAATTCAGTGTTTGCAGTGACTTTATATAACATAACTTGCACAAATTGCAAGAATCAGCTATATGTAGCTTTCCATGGTCAAAGAGATGGCACAACCTATGCAATTAAGATCATTTGCAGAACTATCATCTTCTAATAAATTTAAGTTAGTACTAAGTAGTTAACAATGGCTATAGGTTTAAAAAAAGTGTTTAAAAAATTGCAACACACTCACCAGATTTTCAAAAAAGCACAGGTTGCAACTTCTCAAGTAGTAAATAAATGGATTAATTTCAAAACAGAAGATCTTTTTGTGTTTGTTACGTGGTAAATTGTAGTTTTTTCTGATTTAGAATAGGTTCTTATTTGGGATTAAATTATCTGAATGGCTCCTTGACTGGATAAAGAATAAGCACATCATTATTTATATACATTAATTATTAATTGTGATAAACCATTATACATTTTTAAAATGAAGTTTATTTTTTAGATTTAGATTCTACTTTTAACAATGCCAAGGCTAAAGTAGCTATATAGTACTTGAGGGACAAACAAAGATAACATATGTGACTCTCAGTTTGGTCATGTACTCCCATCAGCATTTCTCCCAACATATTTGCTTATTTATTTATAAATTATATGTGTGTTGTTATCATTAGCAATCTTAAGGACGATATATACTTAGGGTAAGGTTCTGTAAATCTGTATTTCAAACAGTCATCTTGGTAATTTTGAGTTCTTTTAATTGACTTTCAGAACAGATTTTTTCTAAGTTAATTACAGGGCTAACAATGAGCTTGTACTAGAAAGAGAAGTATCAGTTTTGCCATTTTTGTTTTGTGCTTGTATTATTAATATTTTGCTCAATTTATGGTTTCTTTATAGGGACCTCCTGCAACTTATCCATTGCGTGAGTAAAAAAATCACATCCATAATTCCGCTGAACTGGGCACACAAAAACTGCCATATATGTCACTATACGCTGAAAAAGAGCCAGCAGGTAAGGAAGGTGTCATTGTCAATTCCTCTACATTGACGAATTCTTATTGTTTTCTTCAGATACCTTGAGTACCGTATGTAACCATCCGACATATGGTATTACTAAAGGCTGGTTTCAGTCTATATAGTGAATATTCATAAAGCTTAATCTCTAATTTTTGATATGAAGATAAATATAGTTTCTACTATTTTCTTTCCACACCCTCTTGTGCTTTCCACTTTGGAGACTATTCCTTAGGAAGAGTTTTAAGGGCATTGGTTCTGGTTATTGGATGAGTTATTTAAACACTTAGTTTTAACCTTTTTTTTTTTTAATCTTTAAAATAGAGTACATTACCTACTATATAAGGTCATTGAAGGGGTTAAATAAGATAGCATAACACTTGTTTGTTACTCGTTGTAAATACATGTTTGTTTCTCCTTTGTCCTTGGAAATGATCATATTTCCTTCTTATTCTAATGCAACAAAACAAAAAAAGTAACAATTGCACTTATTGAGTGTATCATGTGTTATGGCAAAAATCTTTTGTTCAGTTCCTGCGTAGGGTATATAAAATCTAATCGAGTAAGCAGACTTATACTATACACACACACACACACACACACACACACACACACACGTATTTATGTGTGTGTATATATATAATGTTGCACTTACAAAAAGATACTACTGCTGATTACTATATATCTGTAAGTCATCAAAACTTAATATTCAAGTTGTTCAGATGTTGCTGGATTTTTTTTTTTTAACCATAGTGTATACCATTGGTAGTTTTAAAAAGTAGGATAGCATCTGTTTGACTTGGCCCATCACTGTTCCTTTATGGAGAATTTTATCTGATGCTAATCTTTGAAATATATTTTGTTGTGGTCCAGTTGGTTTTTTAATGAAAGTACAGATAACATTTTAAAAAGTTACCTGTTACCTTCAGCAGGAGCATATGCACTCTTACTGTAATTGAAACTATCATATTATGTCCGAGTAATTCATTCAACAACTATTTATGGAATATTTATATGTAAGATGTCCCTGGGTAGTGCAAAGGATTAACACGCTTAGCTGCTAGCCGAAAGGTTGGACATTTGAGTCTACCCAGAGGTGCTTCAGAAGAAAGTCCTGGTGATTTACTTGTGAAAAATCAACCTTTGAAAACCCTGTAGAGAACAGTTCTACTCTGACAGACATGGGGTTGCCATGAGTTGGAATCGACTTGACCGCCGCTGGTTTGGTTATACGCAAGATATTTTACTAAGGAAGTTTGGAGGATCATTCTCAATCCTTAAAGAGCATTTGTAGCATAGTAATTTGACATATGAAAAATCTTTTCTGGTATTTTACATTATAAAAATCTGAAGCACCTTAAAGAAACCAAACTTAAAAGGTATTTTTTTGGACGGAAGAGGCCACGTAACTCTCATTACATAGCATTTCATGTTTACTTTTCAAGTATGTGAATAGGAATAATGTTTTATAGTACTAGTAATGTGCAGTTGACATTCACTAGCATATGATTTGGCAAGTGACTGCATATGTGTTGAAGCAGTTTTTCCCCCTACTGGTCACCAGAATAGAGGTCATGGCTATATCTCTTCTACTTTTTAACTCTTTTTTTTTTTCCAGCAATGGATCAAGAATCCAACAAGGCTGCTTGGCCTAAACCGGCAGGAGGCTATCAGACAATTACAGGCAGGAGATATGGAAGAAGGCATGCGTACGTCAGTTTTAAACCGTGTATGACCAGGCATGAAAGAAGTTTAGGTCGGGCTGGTGATGACTATGAAGTGTTGGAGCTAGATGATGTTCCAAAGGAAAATTCCTCAGGTGTGTAACATGTAATTATTTATGGGCTACTAATATGAGTTATAAATAATAGCAGGGAAGACAGTTATGTAGGCATCTATCTTGTAATATTTGAAACTGTGAGTGGGTTTTATGTGTATATATGGGTATAAATGCAGTACATTTGCTATCGAATTTTATTTTGAAAATTTTTTTAAATTTAATATTAACAGTATATGCATTTAAACATAGAAGAAAATAGAATATGGCCAGTCATTAAAATATAGCTATACTGTCATGCAGTGATTATATTATCACATCATTCAGCAAGAGGAAATCTTTATCATTCAACCAAAATGATTTTTTTTTAAATGTGAGCTAAATATATTTTTCCATGTCTATTACATTTAAATAGCTTTTGTTTTGTTTTAATTTTACCTCTAAATAATTTAGCTTGGCTAGTTTGGTGTATCGTTTCTTATTTTATAACATATAGACATCAAATAATGCATAGTTATTAAAATTTTTTAGTTAAGTGGTTTGAAAACATATTTTTCAGATATCTGCGAACTATGATTATACATTTTTAGACTGAGATGTCTTCTTTTCCTGAGCAAACTTGATATTTCTAGGTTATTTTTACTCTCACATATAGAAATCTGAATTAATAGCTTAGGTCATTTTGTTACAGAAAAAGCCTTTTTGTAGTATGATGATATAATTTTCTGAATTAACTTCAAAGCACAGTAGTGTCTCATTTGTCTTAGATCTGTAACCGATTGTTATTTGTTCTGTCATGAGTACTTGAATGTGGGTTTGAAGATCACTGATAGGGCAGACTGGTTACCCTGTGACTCTGCTTATGCCCCTCATTGTGCACCCTCTCAGTGTCTTCTCCCTTAATTGTCTTTTTGGTTTTAGGTATTAGGTTTTAGGTATTAGGATTTAGGTGAAAAACTTGCAAAAGTCATGTGAGGGAGAGAATATTGAGAGGCTATGCAATGGCATAAATTAAGCCGTAGGGTAGCCAGTCTGCTCTCCCAGTGAAGTTAGGGAGCATAGATATACCTGCCAGAGAAACTCATTTATATTTTCAAGTAGGTAATAATTGATATGATTTCCACTTAAATGGTTGTTATTAAATACAGTTTTATCTAAATTAATCCCTACAGATTTGTTTTCTTTTGTTTTCTGTGAAGGTTCCAGTTCATTGGATCAAGTTCATTCTTCTTTGCCCAATGAATCTTTATTTAAAGAAAGTGAAACAGAAATTCCCATTTGCGGTACAGCATTGAATCAAACCACTGAGAGCAGCCCATCCTGTGCTGCAGTACATCATAGTGAGGAAGGCGGGGAGACCATAGGAAGCAGTACAGATCTTCATAACCACTCTGAGGGAGAATATATTCCAGGAGCTTGTAATGCTTCAGGTGTCCAAAATGGAAATGAAGTGGTTCTTACTAACTCTTATGATCCAGATGCCAAACACGGAGAGGATAATGACCGTCTTCAGCTTTCTACAGAAGTTGTGGAAGGTGGTAGATATCAGGAAGCGTTGGGCAATACAGTGTTTGAGTTGGAAAATGGAGTAGAGGCATACACAGGTATTTCACCACCAGTTCCGTCTCTTAACTCTGAAATAAGAGAAGAGTTTGAAGAGTTAGATTCAGCACCTTTAGTGAAAAGTTCTAGTGGTGATACTGAGTTTGCCCATCAAAACAACCAGAAATTCCAGAGCTCCTCTTCTGAAGATGAAGTTGTTAGAAAGAAACAACAAAATAATATTAGCCAGGAGAAAGAGAGAGAAAATTCACCTGAAGATTCAGCCTGGGCTTTAGGGCATATTTGTAGTGAACAAAATACTAGTGATAGGGAAAACAACCAGGAAAGGTCTCCTGAACAGGTAGTCAGGCCAAAAGTTAGAAAAGTGGTCAGTTCAAGCCAGGTGGACCAAGAAACAGGTTTTAATCGGCATGAGGCTAAACAAAGAAGTGTTCAGAGGTGGAAGGAGGCTTTGGAAGTTGAGGAAAATGGCCCAGACGACCTGTTAATAAAATGTGAAGACTACGATGGAGAGCATGACTGCATGTTCTTGGATCCACCTTTCGGAGGAGTTATACAGATAGAACCAGAAGATCACCAAACAACACCCGGAAATGGAGCCACAGCAGTAAGGCAAGACGTTGTGGATAACACCTTTTGGAATGGCTGTGGAGATTATTACCAACTGTATGACAAAGATGAAGATAGGTAAGGTTTCATACATTGTCAGATTGTGTAGTGAACCAAGTGGTTTATGTCTGGTGCCACAGTATTTGATGGGTGCTGTGTCAGATATGGTCAGGGAATTATATATTTTGACTTATCAAATAGTCTTACTTACTGAGCGCTAACCATACATGCACACTATCGGTTAGAATTTTTTACAGACTTTCTTTGAGATGTTTTAGGAGTTTATAGAGATTATCAGTTCAAATAATGATTATTAGTTATTACAGAAGGATAGAGATGCTGATTATTACAGTTCATAAAATGCTAGATAAGTATTTATTGAATTAAAAAATCCTTTGTTAAGCCAGTTTGTGTTTAAATAGCGATTAAGATCACAGAATTTTTTTTTTTTAATTGTACTTTAAATGAAGGTTTACAGAGCAAACTAGTTTCACATTAAACAATTAATACACATATTGTTTTGTGACTTTGGTTGCCAACCCCATGACATGTCAGCACTCTCCCCTTCTTGACCTCGAGTTCCCCGTTACCAGCTTTCCTGTCCCCTCCTGCCTTCTCGTCCTTGCCCCTGGGCTAGTATGCCCAGTTAGTCTTCTTTTGTTTTATGGGCCTGTCTAATCTTTGGCTGAAGGGTGGGCCTCAGGAGTGACTTCATTACTGAGCTATAAGGGTGTCTGGGGGCCATGTTCTTGGAGTTCCTCCGGACTCTGTCAGACCAGTAAGTCTCATCTTTTTTTTTTTTAATATACATACGTATTTTTTATTGTACTTCAAAAGAAGGTTTTCAGAACAAACTAGCTTTCTCATTAAACAATTAGCACATAGATTGTTTTGTGACATTGGTTGCCAACCCCACGAACGCTCTCCCCTTCTCGATCTCGGGTTCCCTATTACCGGCTTTCCTGTCCCCTCCTGCCTTCTCATCCTTGCCCCTGGGCTGGGGTAAGATCACAGAAATTTTTGATTTGCAATATTGCATTAACTTTGCCAATATTTATTAATATCACCCATTTCTCTCTTTAGTTGTTCTTTCTGTTGCTCTTCCTATCACTAAGTTTATTTTTTACTTATTTTTATTCAGCATTTAATTCTTATAACAACTCTTTGTGGTAGGTATTATTATTTTCCCCGTTTTTAGATGCAGAAACTGAGGCAGAGAGCTAAGTGACTTCCTAAGGTCACAAAGCTAGTAAATGGTGGAGCCATAATTTGAATACCTACTTGTTGCCTAAACACACTCTGTGTTTTTCACCACTGTAATGTGCTGTTTTCAGGTGAACATAGAACTTTTCTTCTAATAAACATTCTGATTTCTCCTAAAAACACAGATTCCTTTTTATTCCAAATCATAGGACAACTGAAAGAAGAGAAATGGAGGTTTTCTTTGTTCAGCTGCTCAGTTTTCATTACTCAGATTTTCCTAAGCCCAAGCTTTCACATATCCTTTTAAAGCTAGTGGTAACCCCGACAGTGCTCAGTTACAGTGAAATTGCAAGATTCTATTAACTAGTGGAAATTTTTTTTTTTCCAACTAGGAGATATTATAAAAGAAGTAATTTATCACTTTTATATGAATTCATTTTATGTATTTTATTTCATGTCATAAAATTAATACAAATATTTTGTTTTCTTTATACATGAATTATTCTATTGTAATACATATATAACAGAAAACAGTTGAAATATAGTTTTCTAATGTTATCTTAAAGTTTATAAACTTCAAGAGATAGCAGACAATATTTATACAACGTACTGAATTTTAAGCTAGGGGTAAAATTAGCTAAGACCTTTTCCTGGCTTATTTCCCCTTTTTTCAGTTAAAACCCACAGTCCTTTATCCAAAATCCACAATGTTCTGAAAGTAGAAACTGGAAACAAAACCTGACCTGATGTTAACTTACTTAATGGCAAGCTTAGAGCTGAACTAAAATGAGGCTGCTATTTCAAGTATTCATATGTTTTGCTCTAGAAATATGAGTGTATTTGATTACTGGGCGCTGGCCCAGACCCCATTGAGGGTTGTTGAGTAATATTTTAAATCTAGGGGGAAAAATTTAAATTCTAAAACACGTTCAGCCCTAAGATTTTTGGATTGGATTGTGAACTCTATTATTATATTTCTGTGTTACCATAAAACACACACACACACACATTCAAAAAAGCTCATAGAGTTTTAGATATCTTTTTAAAGTATACTATTTTTAGATCCCTCCCGCACCCCTTACATTTTTGCTTTTTTAAAGAAAAGTATTTACTTTGGCTGTGCCTTCTTCATTGTGGACACACTAACCAAAAATAAAAACCTCTTACTTTTGTTTGCCTTTTTGTAGTCAGGTCTAATGTCATGTATTGAAGTAGATGAGATCTTATATTGTTTGTCAACCCCAAGAGAAAGGGTAGTTTTTTTGGCCCCTGGTTTTTTAAATTGGTATTTTGTTATTGGTAGAAGTGATTTCTTTACCTGAAAATGACTCTGGACTTTTAGTGCTTATAGGATGTATTTATTTGTAATTTTTTAAAAATGATATGTCAGTATTCTGAACCGTGATAGATTTTTTACAAATAGAATATACAGATTGGTAAATCCCTTATGGTTAATAGAAACTTTTTTTTTTCTTTCACCTTGTTAGTAGTATATTGATTTACAGAACCTGTAGTTGTGCAGACTCTATGATAGAACCTAATTTTGAAGCCTTTCTTATGTTAAGACACATTAAATTGCCAGAAACACTTAGGATTTTTTTTTTTAAATCTTATCACAGAATAAGTTCTGAAGGATAATGCTTCTACCTAGGATCTGCTTATATTTGCATGTGTAAGCCTTAAGATATATTTTAAGTCCTCATTTCAATAGCCTATACAATTTTGAGGAGTAATTCTATTTCTATGCTACTATTTCTACCCTGTCTGTCTGCTAGGTAATACAGTTGTCAGAGTGCCTTTTCATGTGGTGCCAGCTGAAGGTTGAAATTTCATAGCTGTAAACTTTTATTTAGTTTCATTTTGCCATTTGTTCTTCTACCTGATGTTTCACTGTAGTCCTGCTCTATTTTCATGTTGGCAGATTAGAGAAATGGGGAAACACAGTGAATCTACCATTACGCACTTGAGAAGGAAAATAGAAATAGCTTCTGCTTAATTTGAGTCTGTGAGATTTTTTTAAGTTGTTTTCTCTATTTTGTAAAATTTAAGGTGATATACTTGAAAATTTTCTTGTCATGTTTGTATTGTAATAGCTACAAATAGAACTTATCAACAACATAACTAAAAATAACCATAACATTTTTAGATACAAGAATTTTGACCATTTTTTTAAAACAGAGGTTACGTATTCTTTATAAGAAGAAAAGTATTTTAATAAATGCATGGTCCCCTTGCTGAAAAATTCTTAAATGATCACTTAATCACATCTGAAACATTATACTCTATGGGATAAGTATTGCAGCTGGTGGCATTGCTCTGAGCTGTTTGACAGGAACTGAACACCACCTTATTAAATTAGAACTGCATGGGGAATTTTAAAAGACAGCATATAATTACCAGACTTGAAATTAGACCAGAGAGCTAAGGTTAACACCCTGCTCTTTTGAAATATACCCTGAGAACTTTAATGACTGTTTGAGGACAAGATCTTGAGTTTGGAAGAACCTTTTAGCAATGCCTGCACATTAACCTTGGCCTAACTGTTCTAAAGAGAGGCATGCCATCTACTGATCATTCCTTATAACACTTAAGTTTCCTTTAAGAGTTTTTTCTGTCCTTAGGACTTAATTTTGTTTAAAAGGTTAAAAAAAAAAAAACACCTTGCTTAAGGTAAAAACTTCAGAACAACTTTTGTTATTGATGTTCTTGGGAGAGTAAAAGAAATGTTAGCCATTTAGTTGACTTCGGTTTGATGTATTCAAAAGGGACTTATTGAAATCCTCTTAAGTGCTAGATTTTGTTCCAGGTTTTCTGAAAATGTGAATAATAATTGCCCCTGTTCGCATAGTGCACCAGCCTAGCAGAGAAGACAAAATATACAGATAATTATCATGATGCTGAATCACAGCTTTCTTCTTCTGTATAACTTAGCTGAGAGCCATGAATGAAGAGCTCCTCTGACGTCCCCTCTACCACCAACAGATAAAACATCTATGAATAGCCAAACAAGATCTTGAAACACATGCTCTAACATTTTAACAGACCTTTTTTATCTTGTATCCAAGTTCATGGGAGTTTAAAAGGAGTAAATTAGGGATAAATGGGTTTGTTCCTCAGGCATGCTAGGAAGTTAAAGTGATTACAATATCTTGATATTAAGGGAAAAGACCAGAAAGTTGTAAATGGCAGTGCAATTCAAGTAGCATAATCCTCTGTGCGTTACAAACTACATTAAACAGACTTATGTTAAAATTGCCACAAATTAATAAAGATATCCTGAACGTTAAAGACTTATCAAACTTAGTGTTGGTAATTTAGCTTTAGGAGCCCCTTGGTGGCACAAACGTTAAGCACTCAACTACTAGCCGAAAGGTTGACGATTTGAACCCACACAGAGGCACCTCAGAAGTAAGGCCTTGCGATCTGCTACCAATAGGTCACAGCCTTGAAAACCCTATGGAGAAGCTCTGCTTTGCACACATGGAGTTGCCATGAGTTGGAATCAACTCGACGGCAACTAACAGCAGCAGCAGCAGCAATTTACCTTTAATAAATAAGAAGTTTTGTAGTCAGGGACTTAGCTACTCTTATAAAACTGTTTTCTGTTAGGTTTTGGTACTGATGTAAGTCTATAAATGGTTTATTTGATCTTGGTTTATTTTTTCGGTGACAAAATTTTACACAGTTTTAGCAACTCTGGCTCATACCCAGCTGAAAGAACACCATTTATTTGCTAAGCCTTGGCTGTATTGTATTCCTTCTTTAGGGTGTTTGGACCCTGCTTCCTATTTACTGAAAACTGGAAGTTGGTTTAATTTTTTTGCTTCTACTAATCTCTCAGAACTCAGATTGATACTGCTGTTTGTTAATAACATGTTTATCTCTTGGGTTCGTCTGCCTGTGGAAGGGGGAACTAACTAGATATTAATAAGAGTTAGATCCCTGAGTGACACAAATGGTGAACGTGACCACTAACCCAAAGGTTGGTGGTTCAGACCCATCCAGCAGCACTATAGAAGAAAGGCCTATCCATCTGATTCCGTAAAGATTACAGCTGAGAAAACCCTATAGAGCAGTTGCACTCAGTAACACATGGGGTCATTGTCAGTTGAAATCAGCTTTGGTATTTTTAAAGAATTTAGAAACTGTAATTCCCTACCAGTTATCACTTTTAAAAAACGTGAATTAAGATTTGTTATTTTGATTTTCACAAAAAGTATGATGCACAAAGAAAAATCTTTAAGGGGATTCTTGATCAGAATAATTGTTATGTCTGGGAAGCACGTAAGATTTGTTTTCAATGTTGATAAGCAATACCTTAGCCTTTGGTAATATAAGATGACTACTTCTTTAAAGACTTAAAACTAGTTACTTAAATACAAGTAAGAGTAATTTTCTGAGTGTCTCTTAAACTTTTTATCATACCCTTTGATTGGTTATCTAAATATTCTCTTGAACTGAAATTTATTTTGTGTTCATGGGCCTACCTAAGGACTTTAGTAAAGCTTTATCAGTGCTGCTTTCCACGAGTTTGAATCCCTCTTCCTTTTTAAACATAGACTAATCCTTTTAAAAGTTTTTATGAAAAAGAAAGGGGGAAAAAAAAAAGCTTTTAAAAGCATGCCAGTAGTGAAAATTTATTTGTAGAGAATATGTCACTAGTTGTCAGTATATAATTAGAAAGAGTTGTTATAGTCAGGTCAAGTGAGTGATCTGTTATTATTTATTCTAGGTGAATAGTTAATTTATGATTATCAAACTGTATTTAAAATTTATTCAGAAATATGTAAAATATGAAGAGCCTCTACCCAGGCACCATGGAATTACATAATTTAGTGATATGTTTCATACCTTGACATATGCCATATTCATTTGGAAAAGTTACATTCTACTGAATCGATTTGTTTTTGTATTTTTAAAATTGAGTTGACATATGATGAAGCATGTGTGACATCAGCAATCCACTCAATACTATGATGCCTGGTTAACTTTTCTAATGATGAAAGTAACTGAATATGTAATGATGGTTTGTTTTATTCCTGTTGTAAATTTGCAGCTCAGAATGCAGTGATGGGGAATGGTCTGCTTCTTTGCCTCATCGGTTTTCTGGCACAGAGAAAGATCAGTCTTCAAGTGATGAAAGCTGGGAGACTCTGCCAGGAAAAGATGAGAATGAACCCGAACTACACAGTGACAGTAGTGGCCCTGAAGAAGAAAACCAAGAATTATCTCTTCAGGAAGGGTATGTTTAACAGTGAGCTTTATTGTTTTCTGTGTGTTGTCAAAGAATGGTATACATATACAACATATTTAAATGTTAGATATACTATTAATTGCGTTTACAAACTCTATATAGTACTAATACCCATTGCCATCAAGTCAGTTCCAACTCATAGCAACCCTATAGGACTGAGCAGAACTGCCTTATAGGGTTTTCAAGACTGTAAATCTTTACAGATGCAGACTGCCACATCTTTCTCCCGTAGAGTGGCTGGTGGTTTCAAACCGCTGACCTTTTGGTTAGCAGCTGGGCATTTAACCACTGAGTCACCAGAGCTCCATCTGTAATACCAATAGTCTGTTAATAATGCTACTGATTTTTTCTTTATGCTTTTAATATTTAAAAATGAAAAATTAATTGAAAATACTGATAATTTCAGTATCTTCTGTTGAGATACAATATATATTCCCACTTTGCTTTATTAAGAAAATTTTGGGCATTTAAAAAGTAATTTTGGTTGAGTTAGGTATGAGTAAACTAGAGCTGCCATTGCTGTCCGCTAGAGGTAATGGCAAGGGAGAAGGGACAGCCTCAAGAGGGAAATAAGTGATTCTTTCACAGAATTGGAAGCAGGTAGTTGTAAAAATTGAAATTTTATATTCTTGTCTAATTGCATTGAATGATATCTCCAGAGCAATGTTAAATATTGGTGATTGATGGTAGACACCATTCTGTTTTCCCAACTTTAATGGGAATGCTGTAGTTGGGATTGTCAAATTAATACTGTAAAGGGCCAGAGACTAAATATTTTCAGCTTTGTGGGCCAGTCTGTTGCACCTACTCAAATCTACTGCCGTTCCATGAAAACAGCCATAGACAATATGTAAACGAATGAGTGTGATTATATTCGACAAAATGATATTTATAAAAATATGGCAGTATTTACAACGACGACAGATAAATAACATTGAAATACAAAAGTGAATACAACTACAAATTCAGTAAAGATTAAATAGACTAAAAAATAAATATTGTAAACTTTGTGCCTGTAAATTTGAAAATATAGAACAAATTGATAAATTCTTAGGAAAATAGAATTTACTAAACAAAACTCATTCAAGAAGAAATAGAAAGCTTCAACAGTCCTATAACCATTACATATATGGAATCAATGATTAAAAATCTTTCCTTGGAGGAAACAGTTCATCTAGATGACTTCAGAGCTAAATTCTCATAAACTTTCAAAGAACACATCAATCTTACATAAAGTCTTCCAGAGAATAAAAAAAGAACTATTCCCCCAAATCATCCTATATGCCATTATAACCCAAATTCCAAACTAGGCAAAGGGAGTATGTGAAGAAAATTAACAAGCCTGTTTCATTCATTCGTGAAAATACGTGTCAAAATCTTAAATAAAATTATTGGAAATCTGAGTTTATAAGTATATTTAGAAAAAGATAAAAATTACCAATCTCAGTTTATTTGAAATGCAAAGATAGTTTCACATAGAAAATTTGTAAATATCACACACCACATCAGCAGAATACGGGAGAAAAATCCACGTGATAGATTCTTTTGATGCAGGAAAAAAATTAATAATAATGTCTCATCATGACAGAAACTCTGAAGCTGGCATTAGAATGGACCTTTCTTGACTTGATAAAAGATATTTACCCCCCTCTCCCAATCAGCAGTTCTCAATATTAAAATCAAGAACCAGACAGGAGTGCTCACTACCACCATTGCCGTATAGTGTTATAATGGAGGCCTTAGTCAGCATGGCATGCTGGGAAAACAGTAAAAGGTAAAAAGATATGAAGAGAATCAAACTAGGAGACCACATTTATAGAATATAAAGTGTTAATATGCAGAATGTATAAAGAACTACAAATCAGATCAATAAGACAAATGACAGTCCAGTTAGAAAATGATCAAAACATTTGAGCAGATAATTTTATGGGTAATAAGAATATCATAATTATAGAATTATGACTTGAAACACTGATGAAGATCAAAAACTACAGCCTTCAGTATGATTACACTTCAGTATAAAGAAAACAAAAATCCTCACAACTGGGCCAATAAGCAACGTGATAAACAGGGAAAATATTGAAGTTATCAAGGATTTCATTTTACGTGTATCAATAATTAATGCCTGTAGAAGCAGCAATCAAGAAATTAAATGACATATTGCACTGGGCAAATCTACTGCAAAAGGCCTCTTTAAAATCTTAAAAAGCAAGGATGTTACTTTGATGAGTAAGGTGCACCTGGCCCAAGCCATGGTATTTTCAGTAGCTTCGTATACATGGGAAAGTTGGACAATGAAAAAGGAAGACTGAAGAAGAATTGACACATTTAAATTGTGGTCTGGTGAAGAATATTGACTGCCTTGGTGGCATAGTGGTTATGAGCTACAGCTGCTAACCAGAAGGTCACCAGGTGCTCCTTGGAAACTCTGTGGGACAGTTCTACTCTGTCATGTAAGGTCGCTATGAGTTGGAATCGACTCGATAGCAACAGCTTTGGTTTGGTTTATGAACTGCCAGAAGAACAAACAAATCTGTCTTGGAGGAAGTACGGCCAGAATGCTTCTTAAAAGTAAGGATAGCAAGACTTTGTTTTACTTTCTTTGGACATGTTATCAGGAGAGACTGATCTCTGAAGAAAGACATCATGCTTGGTAAAGTAGAGGGTCAGCAAAAGAAGAGGAAGACCTTCAGTGAGATGGATTGACACAGTGACTGCAGCAATGGGCTCGAACATATCTACTATTGTGAGGATGGCTCAGGACTGGGCAACATTTTGTTCAGTTACACATAGCGTCACTATGAGTCATAACCAACTCGACGGCACCTAACAGCAACAACAAGACTATCAAAAGATGCTCGACCTCATTAGTAATCAGGGACGTGTACTTTAAGATCCCAAGGAGGTATTCTCATTGTTAATTAGATGTTGAGAGTTAGGGAGGTAAATTGAGAGATTTTAAGCAAAGAAGAAAAGGTAGGATATAGGCTTTCAGAGAGCTGGACAGCAAACCTGTTAGGTAACACTGAATAATTTCTCCTCAGTATTGAGTGTCCATTTGAGATTTGTGTTTGTGAATTTAAAATTAAATCAGTCTCATCAAATTCATGTGGTTTCCTTTAGGCACTTCTAGCTGCTCTGATGACTGTTTTATAAACTTTTTAAATAATAACCCTTAAAATCATTTTTAATAAAAATTTAATAAATACATTGACCTTTCCCTACACTTATTAGAATAAAGAATTCTCCAGTGTAAAATGCCTGGATTTCATCTTTAAGAGTAGATGAAATGAAACAGGGTACCCTTGATTTTGTAAGTAGTAATTCCCTTTTAAGCCTTTTTGGGCTCTAACTCAAATTTCAGTTACTTCCCTTTACTCTGAGATAGGATTTGAAAATCTTAAAAATTTGCTATACAATTAGAATTACTTAAAATTAGCTTATGCCTAAAGTTTGGTAACTACTTACATATGTCTTAAGTTATAAAATGAAAACCCGTTAACTAAATATCAGTTTATCAGGAATGTTTATTACGCTTTACAGGATTTTATAAAATAATTTTCTTAGAATATGGCTAGATTAGTTTATGAATGCCTCAAACCCTTAAAATGTTAGTATTAACCAAAACATTTAAAATTCTGTGCTGCAAATAATGGATAATCAAACTGCTGATTTGTCAGCTAAATGAAACCATTAGGATTTGTAAAATCTAGTGTTTAGTATTTTCAGGGGTTTAATTTTCTTTGCCTTTTATTCATTTCTTAGAAAATCTCATGATGTATGATTGTATGACAGCATATTTTAAAACTTTTTAAAAATTTCTTTAATATTCAGTATCAGTTTATGAATATATTTTGATAATTTTAATGCTGCTGTTCACAGGATGTTATTGAATTTAGTTTCTGTTATTGAGTAACTGAGTCACCGTGATGTCTATATGATAGAAAAAAGAAATGTAAAATATTTTTTGTAGGAGTACTTCAGAAATAACAGAAGACATTTCCAAGGACTCTTCCAGGCTTATTCTCTAAATTATTTCGGTTTTTTAAGAGACAATTTTACAAGGATTTATTATTTCACTTGCAACACATACGTAGAGAGTGCCTGTTGTGTGCCAAGCACTGTTACAGGGGTTGAGGCTGCAAAGGTGAGAGACGGCACTGAGAAACTCCTAGATGAGTGAGAAAGACAAGTGAGTCAGACACTAGGTGAGTTGCAGTACAGTGGGATGAGTGCTTTCATATAGGTTTGTGGGCTTGGGAATTTTTAGTTTGATTTCGTGTTTTGATTCCATTCAAGTTTAATTTTTAACAAAATTAGCTTATTTTGTTATGCTAATTCCTCTGATTTTCCTAGACTGGCCATAGTAGATACTAAGTCTTATAAACCTATTATCCTGTATTGTAGTTTAGAGCCTGAAATTACTTAAGGAAACATTTATGGGTTTAGATATATAAAGTTGTTATTGTTGTTAGGTGCCATTGAGTTGATTCTGACTCATAGTGACCCTATAGGACAGAGTAGAACTGCCCCCATAGGGTTTCCAAGGAGCAACTGGTGGATTTGAACTGCTAACCTTTTGGTTAGCAGCTGAGCTCTTAACCACTTTGCCACCAAGCCAAAAATTATAGACACATTGCATTTTGCAGATCTACTGCAAAAGAACTCTTTAATGTGTTAAAGCAAAGACGTCGCTTTGAGTACTAATGTATGCCTGACCCGAGCCATGGTATTTTCAGTCACTTCATATGCACGTGAAAGCTAGACAATGAATAAGGCAGACTGAAGAGGAATTGATGGCTTTGAATTATGGTGTTGGTGAAGAATATTGAATATACCATGGACTGCCAGAAGAACAAATAAACCTGTGTTGGAAGAGGTACAGCCAGAATACTGCTTAGAAGCATAGATGACAAGACGTGGTCTCATGTACTTTGGACATGTTATCAGAAGGGACCAGTCCCTGGAGAAGAACATCGTGCTTGGTAAAGTACAGCGACAGCGAAAAAGAGGAAGACCCTTAATGAGATGGATTGACACAGTGGCTGCAACATTGGGCTCAAACATAGCAGTGGTTGTGAGGATGGTGCAGGACTGGGCAGTGTTTCCTTCTGTTGTACATGGGGTCGCTATGAATCGGAACCAACTCAAGGACACCTAACAACACCCACAGATAATTCTTAAATCAAATGAATAGATTCCTGTGTAATTAGGAACCCTTTCTATGTACATATAACTCAGTAATAAATATGCTTCTCTTTTAAATAATGTTGTAGTTAAGAAAAATAGTTCCTTAAAATTGTAAAAGTACCTAGAGCATAGAACTCAAGGAATAAAGAGTCCATTTGCACACTAAATAGAATAAAGAACAATTTTATGATGTGTTTTTTAAAAATATTTCTTCTTTTAAAATTTCTGAATTAGGGAACAGACATCCTTGGAAGAGGGAGAAATTCCTTGGTTACAGTACAATGAAGTAAATGAAAGCAGCAGTGATGAGGGCAATGAGCCTGCCAATGAGTTTGCACAACCAGAAGCTTTCATGTTGGATGGTAACAATAACCTTGAGGATGACTCCAGTGTAAGTGAAGACTTAGATGTGGACTGGAGGTATGTGTCACAGTGTTATTATCATGCTTAATTGTTATTGAATAGAATTTATGATTCTAACTTACGATAATTGATTCTAATAGCTAAGAAGTATTCTGATTTTCCCTTCTGTTAGAGTCATTCTGTCCTTCAGAACTCATTTTGTATGTCACTTCCTAAATGAATTCTTTCCTGCTTCTTCCAGCCAGCAACTTCTTCCTTTTTTGACCTTTAGCTCTCTTGAAACGAACAAGAAGAAAAAATCTGTTGCCATTGAGTTGATTCCAATTCAGAGACTCCATATGTTACAGAGTTGAACTGCCCCAGGGGTTTTCTTGGCTGTACTCTTTACAGAAACAGATTGCTAGGCCTTTCTTTCACAGTGCCTGTGGGTGGATTCAAACCTTTAGGTTAGTAATCAAATGCAAATCATTTGTGCCATCCAGGGACCTTAGCTCCCTTGAAGCTCATCTTATGTCCTACTTAGTCATACACTCATGGTTCTGTGTTCCTAACTTATTTATTTAGCTTTGTATGCCGTATAAGCACTTAGCATAGCTTTTAATTAAAAAAAAAAAAGCGTCCTTAATGAATACCACTTGAAGAATTTCAAATCTGTAATTGAATCAGAAGAATCAGAAGAATATAGATTTCCTTTATTGTCCTTCCTTTTCCTTCTCGTATTTAAAATTTGGAAGATATAAATTGTACCTTCCCAGAGATGTTAAAAGTATTAAATTTAGTTTATAACTGACAAAGAATATCAAAAACCAAACCTGTTGCCATCAAGTTGATTCCGACTCATAGCAACCCTAAAGGGTTTCCAAGGCTGTAATGTAATCTTGATGGAAGCAGACCGCCACATTTTTCTGTGGAGCAGCTGATGGGTTTAAACCACCGACCTTTTGATTAGCTGCCATGCACTTTAACCACTGCATCACCAGGGGTGTTTAACAAAGGATAGTGAGCTGCAAGTAAAAGCATATAAATGCAGTGGATTTTAGAATTGTTACTTATCATGATATATAATGCTCACCATTTGTCTGTTTTGGTTTATAGATTGGATTTATCTTTCAAGGGTGCAGTAGCCCATTGGAAGCAGCTAACTCTTGAGATGGAGAATGTATATATTTGTTCCATCTATTCCTTTTTTGTTACTTTTTATGGAAATAAAAATGACATGTTACTGCTCTTACTGTCTTCTCTGCTCAAATATATTCGTAAGAATTTATCTTTCTTTCAGTTAAAGTTACACGATTTCATTACAGAAAATTTAGAAAAATAATGATGAGAAAAACTCATTTGTTTATCTTGATATCTCTGCAGGTTTCTAGAACTTATGTTTCCAAGGCCTCGTTTTTGTCTTCACTTTCTGTTTCTGTGTGTGTGAGCTACTCCTTTGTGCTGCTCCAGTTTGTTCCAGACGCTAAAGTCAGCATCTTCTTGAGAACATCTTTACCCTCTTCCATTGTCTTTCCCCAAGGTGGAAAAAAGAATTACGTGTGCAGAGCAGACTTTTATCATTTTTGTGGAAGTAGAAGTGGGCTTTCGTCATAGCCACACAAACAATTTGTAATTCTACCTTGAACAGTCCTGTTCTCCAGAACCCATTTTCTGGCTTCGCAAACATTTTGGAGTATCAGTGACTTCACCTTAGTCCTGGTTATGCTAATCTTTATGCTTCCTTCTTTCTTTGTTCTCCCCCTTACCCTCTCACCGTGCTCCTTGTTAATTTTGAAGTCTTCTCCCTCAATTATGCAAAGTAATTCATCAAAGTACATAGCAGATAAAAGAATCATCTATTTAGTCTTAACTATACTACATGTTAGGAGGCAATTACGGTTTCAAAGGAAGCAGATTCTTCTATTGCATGTTTTCAAAAGTCCGTAAAAATATTTTTTTGTACCTCCATCATGTAGATTCTTCATTCTATAATTAATGCACTAAAATTTAACTGATCATTTCCCCCGTTGAAATAGTGCTGTGAATTATTTTTCCACCATAAAGCTTGTTCTGTACTTGTAGGTTTTTTTTTCTTTTTTTTTAAGAACAGATTACTAGAGGTGAAATGACTGAGCTATATGGTATTTTTGAAGCTCTTTATACGTGTTTCCAAATGACTTTTGAAAAAGGTTGTTCCACATAAAAATTTGAAGGAATAAGTCTATGTTCAATATAATTTTAACTAAAATTTTAAAACTCTGTCTTTAGTTTCTAATTTACACTTGGTTTTTCTGGATATGCCTGTTATATTAAGGTTTTAGAAACACTGTTTGTTTTACCCAAATTTGGGAAGCTTCAAAGTAGTTTTATAATAATGTATAGCATTTTAGCATTGATTTTAAGCAAAATTATTTGAAGGTTGCTATTTTTAATTTTATCTAGATTATGTCAGCACCTTATTATTTGCTGATGTGGTACTCTTTAATTTGGGTGGCAGGGGCTAAATGTTGATAAAATGGAAAATACGGCTTGGTTTTCATATTAAAATAACATGCCATTTTGAAAACTAAAAGGAAAAGCTTGGCAAATAGCAACAGTTCTTATCTCTAAAGCCCAAATTTGGCATACTTTTTTTCAGTTTCATCATTACTTAGGAAAAAATTAAAGCTTTTTGGTCCCTTGTTTTAGTTTAAAGGACAGTGGAGGAAATTTTGTATCAAAAGTTTCTTTGTTTTGATGAAGTCTCAGAGGTGTTATGACATACCACGAGGCTGTTTCATAGCTTGGTGTTGTAGGAGTTTATGTGGAGAAAACAGGTTTTGGATTTAGACAAATGTGGTTCAAATCCTGGCTCTACCATTTATTTATTTTTTCATGATTACTTCTATGTCTTCCTGTAAGAAATAGGGGTTATAATTATTAACCTAATAAGGTTATAAGAAATTATTACTGTGTGGCTATAACTGTAGCTTAGTAATAGAATTTTTAAATCTTTATTTTGAAATAATTTCAGAGTTACAGAAAAGTTGTGAAGTACAATTTCCATATATCCTTCATTAAGAGTCCCTGAATATTAACATTTTACCGCATTTGCCTTATCATTCTCTCATTCCTTTCTCTGTTTTATCCCCCCTGACCCAGAACCATTTATGAATAAGTTATAGACATGATGCTCCTTTACTCATAAATATTCTAGAATGAATTTCCTGAAAATAAGGACATTTCTTAATACAACAAAGTACAGTTGTTAAAATTAGGACATTAACACTGATAGAGTGCCTTATTCTTGTGTCTTTAATTGTCTCACTAAAGCTTTTAGAGCACAGGAAAAAAATTATTTTTTTTAGTCTAACCTAGGATCACTTCTTGCATTAAGTTAACATTTCTTTGGTCTCTTTTAATTTGGAACATTTCCTCAATCTTTCGTGTTTCATGATCTTGGTTGTTTTTTTTTTTTGTTTTTTTTTTTAAAGGCAGAAAGAACATTACGAGGCAGGATATATTTAGGACTTTGGCAAAATTATTTAACCTGCCTTGCCAAACTCTGACACATACAAAATATTGGTACATTTATTTTGTAGAATGTCCCTGAGGTTGGGTTTGTCTGATGTCGTGATTAGATTTGAGTTATGAATTTTTGGCAGAAACACCACAGAAGTGGTGTTTTATCCTTCTCGGTACATACTAGAAGGCAGATGATGTCAATTTTTCCTATTACTGGAGCTGTTCAATCTGCTCACTTGGTTAAGATGGTTATCTTCTAGGTTTCTTCACTATGCAGTTGCTGTTTTCCCCTTTATAATCAATCAGCATCTTGTAGGAGGTATATATATCCTGCCTCGTAATGTTCTTTCTGCCTTTAAAAGGAAAAAAAAAAAAAACCAAGATCATGAAATACAAAGAAAGACTGAGGAAATGTTCCAAATTAAAAGAGACCAAAGAAATGTTAACTTAATGCAAGAAGTGATCCTAGGTTAGACTAAAAAAAATAATTTTTTTCCTGTGCTCTAAAAGCTTTAGTGAGACAATTAAAGACACAAGAATAAGGCACTCTATCAGTGTTAATGTCCTAATTTTAACAACTGTACTTTGTTGTATTAAGAAATGTCCTTATTTTCAGGAAATTCATTCTAGAATATTTATGAGTAAAGGAGCATCATGTCTATAACTTACTCATAAATGGTTCTGGGTCAGGGGGGATAAAACAGAGAAAGGAATGAGAGAATGATAAGGCAAATGCGGTAAAATGTTAATATTCAGGGACTCTTAATGAAGGATATATGGAAATTGTACTTTACAACTCAACTTTGAGACTATAAATAACCTGTTCCATCTCAAACCATCAAACTTTAATTCAGTGGTTTTAGCATCCATTCATGGATGTTGTCTGAAACAGCTGTTACCGTGGTGGTTGCCAAATGAATAATACTAGAATTTTTAACATTAACTGATTATTCTCCAGTAGCCAGACTACAACCAGGTACCATGCTTTGAATGTTTATGATTGTTCAGCCTGGAGAAGAAGAGAATTAATGGGAGATGAATGACTTCAACTACTTGAAGGGATAAAACTCAAAGTGGGCATAGCAGACAGAACTAGAGCAACAGGGTAAACATTATAAGCAAGAATTCTGTCTTTACATAAGTTTGCTAATAAGGCTCTCCCATACCAGAATGCACCATCCCAGAAAGCTGTGTATTCTCCACATGGAGAGTGGTACTGTTTCTTCAGTCGTATTATGCTGCCATCTCTGTGCGAGGCACCTGTTTGCATCTACTCATTTAATTTGTTTTATAGATGAAGAAACAGAATAAACACTTAAATAAAAATTTCAAGTTCTTTAACTATTATTCAGTTAAATACCTATCTGACTGACTACAGGGCTCTTCCTCTTTGCACTACATCTGCCTCTCAAGAACAAGTCCTAGTGTTGCAAGGGTTTTTGGATTCAGTAATTCTTAGTCTTAATTCCATTTCTAAAATCTGTGATTATTATGAGAATGTTTTTTATACTGTGTTTCTTGTGATACTCACTAATTTCCATCTACTAAGCTATAATGTTCATGAGAATCACTTCTGTATCTTTAACAATAGGTTTGTAATTTCAATGATGGTAGTAAACTGTTTTTAGCTAGCTTGTGTAAGTATGGATGTTTCTGACTATGATAGTCAAACTCTGATAGCAATAAAGAAGTAGGCAGATGTTTGTCTTTAGATAGAGAAATAAGCTCCGTTTTGAAGATCTTGAATTTAAGGTACATCCACATAAGATGACCCCCACACACAATTAGAAATGTAGGCCAAGACCTTAAGAGGAGTTTAGAGTCGGATAGATATTTGGGAATTATCTGCAGAGAGGATAATTGAAAAAATGGGCTTGACTGTCATTTCCAAGGGGGCAAGATTAGAGAGAAGAGGACTGAGAACATATATAAGGTTTCCAATTTTTGAAGCACTTAATATTTCCAAGATCACTGGAAAGAAGGAATTATGTCTAGGGTGAGGAAAGGAGATTAGGACCATATTGAGGCATAACAGTTTTCCTTTAGGAAGAAGGTAGTAAGAACGAGCAGTTAGGAGCTGGATGTTTTTCAGGCTGAGTAGTAATGGCGGAGACCTAGTTCTCGTGACAGTAGAAGAGATTAATGAGAAAGGCATTGAGAAAAGAAATTATTTTAAAGCCCAAAGTAATGAAGCAATACAAGGTGAGAGAAGAAAAAGAGGCTTCGACTAATGATAGAATTAAAATAAGTGCAATAACTCTATCATAGTATCACTTGAACTGATTGAAAACTAAAATAAACAAGTGGCAATGTATGAGAAAGAATTAAGGAGGAAGTACTGTGTTTTCTCAGTCTTAACCAGTCCATAGAGCTAAAACTAGAAACATAAAAAGAGAATTTTCCTATACACTTTGTGCAGTGAGTCTGGCAACCTAGTGGAAGAGGTCATGCTTAGCGCTTCAACTTTCTGCTCCTCCTGCCCCCACCCACAAGGGTTAGGTTAAAACAGTTTAAAGGTTTCTGCTCAAAGTATATTTATTGGCTTATCAGTATGTTAATATAACAATGTCTTGACCATAACGATTTCTCAAATCATGGTGTTTTTTTTTGTTTCCAGCCTATTTGATGGATTTGCAGATGGACTCGGAGTTGCTGAAGCTATTTCTTACGTGGATCCTCAGTTCCTCACCTACATGGCACTGGAAGAACGCTTAGCCCAGGCCATGGAGGTATTTTAGTAATTCTGATGCTTATGTATATATATGTATATATGTTGATAAGATACAAAATGATTACAATTAAATGTTTAAGGGATTTTATTTCAAGCTGCTTTTAAGTCTAAAGGTAAATAGTTTTCTGATCAATTTAATAGTAATTACTGAAGAGCAATTGCAACCAGTAAGTACATATAAATTACTCGAGTCCTCTCAAGTTGTCTAAAACTAAAATATCTTCTAATTTTTACTGTAGAATGGAAAGTGTTTTGCTTACATTTAGAACATACATTCTTCTCCTCTATTGAATTATAAAGGTATATGAGTCTGAATATTTTATTCTCACACACACACAGAGGCGTATATGTGAAGTGAAGATCCCTGAGGATATTTTACAAGTCACTGCTCTTCTTTTGTTCTTGTGTCATCTAAATACTGTCTTGCTGCCTAATGCAGTTAATGCTTCTCTCCCCACACTCCTCCACATACAGATATACATACTCTAATAAATGTGGCGAATTCGGTGCCAAAGTTTGCCTTGCTTTCTTTTCCTTATTTAACTAAAACAGAAAAGCTTGTTCTTAATTATATTTGCCTAGGGTAAAAAGCCCAAGCATTTTCATGTTTGAAAACTTCCAGTACACTAGTAGATTTCATTATAAGAAGATGATTTGATTCCAGAGTGGAACTAGGGACAGTAACAACTGGTGAATGAACCAAAGATGAGAGAACAAAAATTAATGAATACCGTTTTACCTTGATTTTTTCTGAGATTAGAAACTCCGGTTTAGATTGGTAAATTACATAGGTGGATGGGTAGGTAGGTAAGTAGGTGGATGGGTAGGTAGGTAAGTAGGTAGAGGTACACACACACACACACACACACATTAGCTGTGCTTTGGCATCGCTTTCTGTACCTGTGTGTAACCTGCCATGGAGATCATTGCTCTAAATTGTGCTTTACAGTGTATGTCTGTCTCAAAGTGACCATAGCAGAAACACTGTGTGTTAGGAGAAAGGCAGAAAGAACATTACGAGGCAGGATATATTTAGGACTTTGGCAAGATTATTTAACCTGTTTGCCAAATTCTGACACGTACAAAATATTGGTACAGCATGATAACTTGCATCAGAAGTTTTATATGTAAAGATTAAGAATCACTAACTTCCTTGAGACAAATTTTGTAATCACAATGGAATCCATCTTTTCTAGGGTTTGGTTTCACAGTGCTTGAACAGTTTTTGCTAGTGGTTTATGATTTTCTATAATATAGAGGCTTTATTTTTTTAAGTTTTGAGAATTAAAAGTTTTATTATTTGTCACTAACAGAGAAAGTGACATTTGATTGACATCTTAAAAGAAGAGCCAGAGAGATTGATCATGGAAAGTCATGCTAGATAAAGGCAATGGCATAGTGAACAAAGACAGGAGGCAAGAAAGGACGGAGTATGTTCAGGGAACTTAACAGTCCCACACATTTGCTGGCTTCTGCCATTAGGGAACCCAGTGGCACTGCCACTTTTGAAGTTTTTCCTGCCACTCTCCTGTTGCCTCTGATGAATGGCTTTAAGCATCTCCCTTCCCCACAGCTTAACAGCTTTCTCAGATTTTAGTGCTTTGTTTTGTTTTATTTGAATTTGATCAAGGTATGTTATTGATTACCCCTGGGTAATCAATACAGTTCCATCTTCCTATCACTTTGCAGAAATCTTTACTTTTTCATGTCTGGTATGCACCTATTTAATCATTTTAAAAAATGAAACAAATAATTTATAATTTATGATTTTTCCTTTAGATTTCACTAACATTATCTAAATGAAACAACAGCAAATAATAAGCAAATAATAAGACAGACCATCTGCTTTTTTGTTTATTTGTGTGTTTATCAAGCAGCCCTGGCCCTGATTGGGCTACTTAATGTTACTACATAAATCTTACTTTCATTTCTCTGTTACTTTTCTAGTACACTGATCTTTCTTTTCAGATAGTGGCTATTGGTGAATATAATTGGCATTGTACATTTGCCTCATATTATATCTGTATCTCAAATTTGAGTGAAGACGGTAAAATATCTAAGATGTTTAACTTTTTAAAACAACAATGTTAAAACTTTTTACTCATTCCCAAACAAATTTTGAAAAAAAGTATATTCCATGCACATTTTTATGTTGACATCTAAAATTTTTTAACGTAAATCTGAATAGTATTGTTCACCATATCATACTTGTTTTCAATAAAGTTATGTTTAACAATTTAAATGTTAAAAAAAAAATTAGATTGGTTTGTTCCAATTAATAATATCCAGTTGACTGAAACAAATTATAAATTTTGATAAATATTTAAGCATAAAGTAAAATTTTACTAGAAATGTATCTCTTAATGAGATGGAAGCTTTTTTTTCTCTCTCCCAATTACTTTGTAAGTGAATTTTATTTATTCCTAGAATGAGTCACAGTTAGGCATAAATTTTATTTCTGTGTTTTGATCATTATGGATATGAGCTTGAGAAACCTTATTCACATAAATAAATTAATAGGAATGGAAGGAGTTTGTCATAGCATTGTCAGTTAATTCTTCTGAGTTATTTGCCAGAAATCATGACAATTTGACTAGTCATTTACAAGTTCTCCATTTTTTTTGAAAACAGAATTGGAAGTCACCTAAAAAGATTAGATATTCACTCATTAGAGTTCAGTTTGACCCCACTATTTCAGATTGCCCCTTTGACACGAGTAAGAAGTGTGCTTCTATTTTATAGAGTGGGAGAAAGTGAGTATGAAGAGGAATGTAGGGGGAGAGAACCAGCATGATATTTGACTGCAAAAGCATTCTGTTATCTGGATTCAGTGGCCATTCAAAATCAGTTCTAAATCATTTGTTATAAATCTTCATTCTTTCAAACTAAATTTTATTCTTTAAAAACTAAATTTTGTCCTGACAAAGGATTTTGTGCTACTTTGTTGTTGTTGTTGTTAGCTAGCATTGAGTCAATTGCAACTCGTGGCGACCCCATGTGTGCAGAGTAGAACTACTCCGTAGGGTTTTTTTTTTGGACTGTGACTATTGGAAGCAGATCTCCAGGCCTGTCTACCATGTTGCCTCTGAGTGGGTTTGAACTGCCACCCTTTTGGCTGGTAGTCAATCACTTAACCACTTGAACCACCCAGGGACCTATGTGCATCTTTAAACCTAGATATATTCCAGGTTGGGCTATTTAGTCTGTCTGATATTTGAGCTAACTTTTGAAAATGTATTGTACTTCCTAAAGGTGCAGTTAGCAAAATGGTCTCTTTGCTCTTGTTGCTTATAAGTGAGCCTAGATCACCTTAAATGTATGTCAGTACCTAAGCAGTAAATTTATTTTTACATAGCTGAAGTTCCAGGCATTTATTAACACTGCAGATGTGCAGATAATCATCAGAAAAGAACACTGCTGAACCCATCGAGGAGACATGTATTGAAGTTATAGTTAGCCTGACATAACCTGCCAAAATGGAAGTTACTGTAAATATGGTATCTCTTCTTTTTGTTTCAAGGAGCCCTGGTGGCACAGTGATTAATCACTTGGCTGCTAACCAAAAGGTCAGTGGTTCGAACCCACCAGCTGCTCCACAGGAGAAAGATGTGACAGTCTGCTGCCATAGAGATTTACAGCCTTGGAAACCCTACAGGGCAGTTCTGCTCTGTCCTTTAGGGTCACTGTGAGTCAGAATAGACTCAGTGGCAATGCATTTTCTTTTTGTTGAGCTGTAGCACTGATGAATTTTTGTAAATAGGGTCTGTCTTGAGAAGTACGTGGAGAATTGGAGAAGGTTCATAATTATAGTTATGCAAGAAAGAAAGGGACAAATAACAGTCGCTTACCTTGTGTTTCCCATTTCCTTAGGAGAAAGTTTAATATGAAGAATTATTAACTATAACAGGATTGCAGTAATGAGTAATTGTTTAGTAAGAAATAAAGCTAAATCTAAAGTATCTAGGAAAAGCACATACAAGGAGCAGTCTCCATCCTTAGGGCTAAGGTAGAGCACCCAAGGAAGAGCCACCACCTTGATGGAGACGGCACAGCTGTGGTTCACTGGATGGCAAAGAAGTTACCTGCTGAAAATCTGCTCTCTAGGGACCAGGGAAAGCTGTGTCTAACCAGAAGCACTCCATGACACAACCACCCAAGTTGGATGCTGGAGAAAGTTGCTGGCTGCTGGGTGCTGCTGTCCCCATGCATTGCAAGAGCCTGAAGCCTGAGAAGCTATGTGCACTGCAGGAGCCCGATGCTAGAGAAATCCACGCATGCTACAGAAGCCTTTTAAGCAAGCACACCAGGATCAGAAGAAAAGCCCTTTTCCTCCTGCAATGTCTTGCCAGCACCCTGCGTGAACAAAGCTTAACATCATGCCAGCTGTCAAAAGGGAACATATGTTTAAAGACCCAGATCCATTTTCACAGCGGTGGCAAAAATAGTGAATTTGGATCTGAAGAGCAATAAATCAGTAACTGACACAGTCCACCCCTTTGACTAACTGGCTTCCATATGCACCTTTCTACACATACTTGAACTCCCATCCAACAATAAAACAACTAATTCTACATAACAAGATACAGATGTTCTTACAAGTGAAGAACTTTTCATTTTCCCAGAATGAGCAGGTACAGTCTTTGTATCCATCACCAGCTATATTAATTACTCCACAAATTTAATCACAGTCTCACTGAAGATTCTGTCATCTAAAGACTAAATTGTAAAGTTAACTTGCTATAACTGGTGTATAAAATAAACACATCTAACAAGCAAATAGAAACTATGCAGAGCTACTAATTCTTGTTTCTGTAACTGATCATGAGACCGTAATTGATAGCCATGGCTTCCTTCTTCCACAATCCATTCTGTATTTTCCCTGCCTTCAGCCACCAGAACCTTGGGATTCTTTACTTGGTGGAGTGACCCAAACTCACATTCCTAAAGGGTCTATATTGTCAGTCATCCTACCCTTTATTTGACTGCTATAGTTTTCTATTAACCTTTATTGTTGGGCAGGGAAGTACGAAGAGGTGGCACACTCCAGGTGTGGTTATCACAGGAGTTTTAAGCAGAGGAATGCAAGTTTGTGGAAGGCAAGCTATTTCCACTGGTGAAAGGAGGCTCAGAAGATCTTGGGGATTTAAGATTGTCAGTTTCATCTGAGTCCAATCAGATGCCCTTATTACAAGTTTCAGAATCCTACTCTTTACTAATCAGTGCTCTTACTTTTGAGAGCTTCTCAAAATTGGGAATTCAGCTCTCATTTTAATTCAGCAATCCATATAATTCAACTTTATTTTTGATTTTCAGAAATAAGAACTCCTTTTAGAGGGCTGTCATGGAAGCTCCCTGGTTTTCATACTGTCTTTAACTGAGAGTTAATAGTCCTGAGTTTATCATTTTCTCTTTGTAAACGTGCAAGGACACTCAAAGGAATTTATTCCACATCTCAGTTTTCGTAGTCATCATTACTGAAACAACCACCTGGACTCCCAAGACACGTGCTTCAGTTGGCATTTCATCACAGTCAACCACAGGTGATAGCCTGATTAATTTTGATGCCACTACATATAGATTAGTAGCATCCTGTGTCCCATTGGCAAGGAACTTTGCACTATACTGAAGCCCAAAGACCCAACTAAACCAATCCCCAAATCCCATTTTTATAAGTCTGTGTCCTGGGACTACTCCTGATACCAATTCTCTATCAGTTTGGGCTCAATTAAGAGAGAAACCACACAATAATTTGAACAGAGAAAGTTTAATATAAATAATTACTAACTACAACAGGAGATTAGAGTAACAAGGGATTGACTAGTAGGAAGTAAAGAGAACTCCAAAGAATTTAAGAATAGCGGATATAAGGAACAGCCTTGGGGGCTCAGATGGAGCACTCCAGGAAGAGCCCCCCAGGGCTAAGTTCCAGACTTGGGGAAGACGCGGCTGCAGCTCACTGGGTGGCAAAGAGGTAGCTGTGGTACCATATCAGCAGAACTTGCTGGAAATCCACCCTCTGGAACATACCAGGAATCAGTCCTCTGTGATGCCGGGAGAAACTGTTCACAGAGAGGTGACTAATTGGAAGCACTCCACTACAAAACTACCCAGGATGGGTGCTAAGGGAAGCTTCTGTCCATTGGGTGCTGTTGGCCACCTGGTACTGCAGGAGGCGGGTGCTGGAGAACCTTTGTGCATGTGAGCCAGGTACTGAGAAGCCACCCACACTGCTGGAGCTGGATGATGAGGGAGGCTTGCACACTGCAGGGGACTACCCAGCAAGCTCATGGGAACCAGGAAGCAAAGTCCTTTCTTTCTGCAGTGTCTCTCCAGCACCTTTTAGTCATAAAGCTTAAGATCATGCCAGCTGATAAACAAAAAATATTTAAAAGGTTCAGATCTGTTTTTGCAGAGCAGAAATGAAGGATGAGTATGGAACTGAGAAGCGATATATCAGTTAGTGGCACACTGTTTCTTTTTTTGCAGTATCTCTGCAAATCCAGAGCCAAATTCGGTGTTCAATATTATTAACTCCTATGATGAGACTTTTTTTTTTTTGGCAGGGGCTCAGAAAGGGTTTACTGTGTAAATTAACACTGTAGAAGTTTGGAGGTGAAAGAGGACTTTAGTCTGGATAGATTTTGAAAAAAAAAAAAATCAAACCAGTTGACATTGAGTTGATTCTGACTCATGGCAACCGCATGTGTGTCAGAGTAGAACTGTACTCCACAGGGCTTTCAATGGCTCATTTTTCGGAAGTAGATCGCCAATCTTTTCTTACACCAAGACTCTGGGCGGGCTCGAACCTCTAACCTTTTGGTTAGCAGCTGAGCACGTTAACTGTTTGCATCACCCAGGGACTCCAGATTTAGAAAAGACAGTAGTGTATATGGGATTTTAATTGAATTTTTAGAATAAAGACTGGTTTTAGAAATGTTGTTAGATGCTGTCAAGTCAGCTCTGACTCATAGCAACCCTGTGTGTAACAGAACACATCATTGTATTGGATGGTCTTGCTCCATCCTCATAATATGATGAGACTTTCTGCTTTCTCCTTTTTCAGTCCTGATTTTGATTTGGCCTTGGCCTTATCCTGTACTGTAAATCATCTCAAGTTCCTTTTGGAAACACATAGTTCCTTGCTGTAATATCTGTAATTTTTTGAGGAATATACAAAAAATTGTTTGTCATCCAAAACAAACACAATGTTAACTATCAGGCAGAATTCCCCTGCTACATGGGAGGCTCCATTTTGATAGTCGTCAAATCCGTTTCAACTTTTTCGTCTGAACTAGGTTAATGCTAAGGTCTCTCATAGATCTGTGGTCCTGTGATGCTGTAATTAGGGTATAATATTAACAAGTAATTATTAAACTGGATAATTCTGATTATTTGCATATAGGAGCAGTTCCAAAGGAAGATATGAATGTGGTCTGGGACCAATGACATATATTTCATGGAAGGGACAGGACTTACCCAGGCCCCGAGGAATTGATAGGATTTAGATAGACAGGAATGGCCAGGCACAGGAAGCAACGTGTGCACTAAGAGCATGTAATTGTACAAGTGGCAGGCAAAAAGATATACATCTACCTACAGTTCTAATCTAATTGGAGCTAGACAGGCTAATTAAGTCAGAAAGGATGAGGGTGACTCATATGGTCTCATGTTGTTTCCATCCTTGTTAGAACAGTGACTTTATTCAAACGTTTGACCCCGTCAATTAAGTTCACATCCTGTATAACTGCGTAGTACTTGTGAGCTGACAATGTGGGTGTGCTGACCCTATGCCAGCAGTAGATAGAGCCACTCAGGGATGTATCATTTGCTTCCGTACCTCGAGCATCCAGTAACCTCAACCACATTCGTCTTTCATCAAGTGAAACCTATCCAGAGTGTTTTTATTTACTTTATTTCATATTATAGATCCTCCACCAGAACTCATAAATGGGGAGAGGTAACCACTCCTCTGAAAATAGAAATATGATGGGCAAGTAGATGGTTGTTGAACCAAGATAGATTTTTGTTCTACTTGTGAAGAGTAGGATTTTTTGATTTTTGTTTTGTATGTTTTTGGTGTTCTGGTTAGATAGTGATGGTTTTGGTGGTGGTTCTTTTGGAAGGGGGCAAGGGATTGTAGCAAAGGAAATTCACAGGAAGGAATAATGCTGGATATAACTATGGCAGATGTATTTAAAAAAAAAAAAAGTTTTCTATTACTATTTTAAAGTGTTTTCTACAAAGAACTGTAACTTTTATTTTTCAGACTGCCCTGGCACATTTAGAGTCCCTTGCAGTGGATGTTGAGGTGGCCAATCCACCAGCCAGTAAGGAAAGTATTGATGGTCTTCCAGAGACCCTTGTTCTTGAAGATCACACTGGTAAGGGCAAAGTTGATCACAAATGTCCAATGACACATTGCATGTTTAAGTATATTATCAATGTACCTAGAGGATGAAATGTTGAATATTAGAAACTTTCATTAAATTTTCTGTGGCAACCAAATTCTGACAAACTCTCACCTAGTAGGATAATATTTTTAATTTATCAAATTATAGGCTGGGTCAACTCTTCTACAAAAGCAGTGTTTATTAGATTCCAAACAGTGGTGTTTTAGAAGCAAACTTAACAATTGATCAAAGTTTGGTTTTGTTGTCTTTCATAGGTATTATCTACAAGTTAATATTTTGATTTTCAGTTTTATTAAAATGGAACTTTATGTGATAGCTAGATCTAAATTATGTGTTGTTTTCAGCTATTGGTCAGGAGCAGTGCTGTCCGATCTGTTGCAGTGAGTATATTAAGGATGATATAGCAACAGAGTTACCCTGTCACCATTTCTTTCACAAGCCTTGTGTATCAATTTGGCTACAGAAGGTGAGTTTTAATTTTTTTAATTAATATTTTAATAGTTTTTCCTGCTAGTTAATGATGATAGTATCTCTTGTCTGTTTTATTTAACTACATATTTGTAGTACTTTAAAATTAGTGTTAAAAATTTGTTGCCTTTTAATGGTTACAGATTAATGATAATATGGGCCTATTTTACTAAATTCTCTAAAATTTGGACAATATAGACAACAATAACTATTTAACATATTATTCTAGAAAATCATTTTAGGATAGAGTCAATTAGACTTTAAATCATAACTTTGAAATTTGATGTTTTCAAAAGTTTCTAAAGCAAAGAAACCTGTGGCACTACTCCAAGTACTGTAACAATATATACCTTCTCCTCACTTAATCAACTATCTCATTAGCCAACATTTCACATTTACAACAATAGTAAAAAATCTATTTTGCGCATCAGCGATGTATGTCTGGCAGTAATGAACATCAAAGTGCGAGGTGAGAATAACTGGCTTTGATGGTTAAGATTGTGTGTCAGCTTGGCTGGGCCATAATTCTCAGTGATTTGGCAGTTATGTAGTCTTGTAACTTGGCAGTCATGTAATGCAACTTGGCAGTTGTGTAGTGATGTAACTTGGCAGTTAGGTAGTGGTGTAACTTGGAAGTTTATGTAATGATGTAATTTGGCAGTTATGTAGTGAAGTAGTCATCCTCCATTTTGTGATCTGATATGGTCATCCTCCATTCTTGCATAACACCGATTTCACATAACGACCTGGTCTTCTGAACCTAATCATGTTGATAAGCGAGGAGAGGTTGTACAAGTATTCTGCTAATATGGATCAGTGTCTCTGAAAATTTATATGGGAGAGAACATTGATATTTGGGAGGAATATTCTCCATAATTTAATATTCTCCATAAATACTTGATTTCATTTTACATTTACTACCATGATACTATTACCCAGGTTAAATTTCTATCCATTATTCATTGTACATCATTGTTTTCACTCCTCACATCATTTGGGAGAACATTCATCTAGATATTTAATAACCTACTAGGTATCTCCTATTCCAGTTATTATACACCATCCTTAAACATTTATCTGGTAATTTTTAAGGATATTTGAATTACTTTTTTAAAAAAAAAACAAATTTTATGTAAATCTTCTCTGTGAACTCTGTATTTGCACACCAGATATTTTATATCCAGCTCAGTAGGACTTACCAGATCACTTTGCCAGCTTATTTACTTACGGATATAGCTCCCACTCTTCCCTGCAACCCCTCCTTTCTTCCTCACATCCTTCTCCTCCCTTCTCTTTTTTCCTTTTCCTTTCTTTGCTTTTCCTCCCCATCTGCTGCAGCGTCATCCTTCTCAAAACTCTTATTTAAAAACTCGGAAACTCAGTGCAGAAATGTTCATAATTTGTTGATCAAATCAGATACATTTTCAGTTGCTGATGCCAGTTCTATTTCATGTCTGTGTGCATATTCAGTTTGTATTATAGTTTTATATTCTATTTTTACAAAGCACTACTTGCATATTTTTCTATTTGTTGCAGTCTTGTTTCCTTCTCAATTCCCCTTCTTCCCTGCCACTACTCCTCCCCCTTCTCATAACCAATATTCACATCCAAGAGTGTCTACATCCACATTTTTTCCCAGTTAATTAACCCTACACTAACATTTGTAGGGTTGGAATTTTAAAATTGTTTTTAGTAAAGCTACATTTTTTATAATTTTCATATCCATTCTCAAACAGTTTTTTTCCTATTTGAACTTTAAAATCACTTTATCTAATTGCTTCTCTCCCAAAAAAAGAATCCTTTGGGGGATTATAATTATAATTACATTAAATCTATACATTATATTTTAGAAGATTTCTTTGGGATACTTTTAGAGTTAAATTAGTAAAACACATAAAAGTGTTTATGAGATATAATGCTCCTCTGAGTGAAAGTCAGCAGCAGAAATTTGTGTGCTAGATTATTATTGCTTGTATTATTTGATTTCTTATTTTAATTATTTTTCTTTTTAACTTTATATCATTTGTAAAATGGTATCGCTGATAATATCTACACAGCATAATGTTGTGAGGACCAAAGGAGATAACCCATAGTGCCTGGCAGGTAGCGCTCAGTGCACCTTAAAAATCATATCAGATCAAAACTGTTATTAGAAATTAGAGATTTTTTTATCTTTTCAAAAACAAAATCACAAATACATACTTAAGTTATGATGCAAGTTACAGAGACTAGCCACAATCTTCAAATAAATATGCACCGACATGATGCTGCCTGGTGAATGTTGCCTGTGCGGAAATCATGTACGTCTCCAGTCTCAGGAGACTTCCTGGCCCCCTGGATAGAGTTATAATCTGGACTCTGAATTATTTTCTAAGTATTGCTTTCTGTGATCTCTCCCCTCCCTCAGAACATAATTGGGGCAGTATCAGCCTAGATAGTTGTTCTTAACTCTTGCTTATTTGATGTTGTGTACCACACAATGTACCCTACCTCTAGGGCTTTTATAAGAGTTGAAGTAGACAGTCTGTGTAAAGAATTTAGCATAGGGCCTGGCACATACTAAATACAAGGTAGGAAAAGCAGCAGTAAGTTGGTAGTAATTAGAATTAAGTGGAAAACAACTTTCAGTACCTCTGTGGTAGTAGTGGTGGTAGCAGTAGCAGCAGTAACAATAGATATTAAAATTAGTGGGAATGCAGAAAATGCAAAGCCACCAAGTCTTACCAATTTTGTGTATGCCTGTGAATCTCAGGTCTGTTCCTTCTTTTCATTTCCACTCCCGTATGTCATATCTTTATTCCATTGTGGCCTTAACTACTATAGTAGTTACCAACCTCATTTGCTTATCTCCAGTAAAGGTATTTTCCTAAAATATAGCTCTGATCGTGTTACATTCCATCTCAAAACAGAGAGAGACAGACTTCCAGTGACCTGTGAAATAGTCTGCCATTTCTGTCTTGACTTGTAAGGCCTTCTGTGATCTAGCCCCCAGCCCATCTCCCCAGATTTACCTTTCTGTACATTTGTTCATGTTTTTCTTAGCTTGGCATGCTCTTCCCCCCATACTTTACTCCGTTCCACTTGTAAGATTAGATCATCTAGGTAGGTCCGGTTTAAATTCTACCTTTTCTGTCCTTAATATCCCCTTTCTTTAAACTCCCATGGCAGCATCAGGGATTAAGGAATGGGATTTTTGTGTACCTGCTTGTGCATCAGGTACTGTGCTGTATGTTTCATGTACATTTTTCCATTTAATTCTCACAGTAACTCTGGAACATATTGGTATCGTTATTCCCATTTCCCGGTGATGGTTATTTGCCCAGGGTTACACAGCTAATACCACCTTGGTCGAGATCGAGATCATTTCTCTGATTCTAAATTGTTGCTGTTAGGGCCCAGTCTGTATGGTAACTGCAATAGCAAATGTTTGCTGAATTACATTCCTGAATAGTAAACATTATATATATTGTACAGCCTTGAGTTATAAGTTATAATTGATTTTGCTATAACCCAGGGTAAAGTCTTGAGTTTTTCTCTTGTCAGGAAACAGCTTACTGTAAAGCCTTTTCCTGGTTTCCTCTGGGGAGAGGGTTCCCAAGATACAATTCTTTGTCACTTTCAACAGCATAATCTCTTCAGCCTCCCTTATATCATGAAGATCTCTTCGGGAAACAGACCAGATTTTCAGAGGAATCAGATGATACATCTCTGTAATCTTCCATTGGTCCTAAAATGTTGTACTGTCAGAATAACTGTTTCCCCTTCCCTCCCAGGTCTGTGGTTGATTTGTTATTTAGAAGGAACCTAACTCTGTATCTTTTTGAAAAGTTATATGGCTTATAAAAGCGTGAGATCCATCTGCTCTGACGTGTCTGTGCTACACTAAAGTGCAGCTTTAGTTTATATGAGTAAGGTCCTGGAGAATGATTTGGTGAGATAAGTATAAGTATAATTAGGTTTGTGGTTTCTCTAGCATATGCATCATAAGGAGCCTGGGTGGTGCATGTGATTTGCGATCAGCTGCTAACCTAAAAGTTGGCAGTTCGAACCCACTCCGCTGCTTCGTTCAGGTAATTGTTGAGCTAAACTGAGACCTCTGTAAAGACAAGCAGTGTAACTCTGCTCAGCTTCTACCACGGTGCCAGTGCAGAGCGCAGAGCGGAGGAGGCTCTTAATTAATACTCGGTGACAGATGAATGACCTAAAAGGTACAAACATGATTAAGAGACAGTGACTGTTTACCCTCAAAGAACTTGGGAGTCTGATTAGGGTGAAGGGGAGATAGCGTAAAAGGGAAGATAGCCTAAAATTTTTGTCTTTT